GTCTCCCCTCCCCCAGTGATCAGACTGTACATTGTAACTTTGTAGGAGGAGGAGGAGTCATTTCCTCAGTCTCCTCCCCCAGTGATCAGACTGTACATTGTAACTTTGTAGAAGGGGGAGGAGTCATTTCAGACATTCTCCCCTCACCCCATGATGGGATCATCTGTGACATTAAGTCTGTGTAGAAGGGGGAGGACATTTCCTCATGGCGCCCCTCCCCCAGTGATCAGGAGTACATTGTAACATTGTTGGAGGGAGGAGGAGTCATTTTCCTCAGTCTCCCCTCCCCCAGTGATCAGACTGTACTTGTAACTTTGTAGAAACGGGGGAGGATCATTTCCTCAGTCTCCTCCCCCAGTGATCAGACACATTGTAACTTTGTAGAAGGAGGAGGATCATTTCCTCAGTCTCCTCCCCGCGTCAGTGGTCAGACTGTACATCGTATAGCAGGGGCTGATCTGTGTCAGACATTGGTGCATGCGGGAATGTGAACACCGCCATGATGGTGTCATCTGTGAGCCGCCATTATAGTTCATGTGTAGATGGTGACCCCGATGGCGCCCCCTGGCGCGCGCTCCTGGAGAGGAGATCAGATGAGGCCATTGTTTATCGGAGGAGTCTGTATCGCGGTGCGTCGTATCGGGAGATGTTTCATCGTGCCGCATCTTAGGGGCGTTGGGATCAATGTAATGCCCATAAAAAACACGTAACTGTGCGTGATGAATACACGCGTGATCACCGCGTCTGTGTGAAGGGAAATCGCTCAGGTGGACCGCTGTGCTGGGATTGGCCGCTGTGGGAGGAGCAGAGTGCGGACGCAGCGTTTATCGGGGTTGTTGGCCCTGTGTTCCCCCCACTGGCTGCTCTCCCATATGGGGGGGAGGGGTGAAATCTGTCCTTGATCGGAAGGTTGGGCGCGCGGCGGTGGAGGTATATATATATATACCAGGCTGGGGGGGTCTATATATAGATGGGGCATTGGTGGGCGCAGTGATTGGTGGGCGCGGTGATTGGTGGGGCGCGGGGTGATTGGTGGGCGCGGTGATTGGTGGGCGCGGTGATTGGTGGGCGCGGTGACGCGCGGTGAGTCCGGCCATTTGTCTTCCTCACTTACAGGCAGCGGGAATCTTCTCCGGGAAAACGCTGAGTGCGCCTTCCGCCTCGCCGACTTCTCTCCCCACTTTCTCCGGTTACAAATCGTTCCCAGCAAGCCGACACCTCGTCTAATTGTGTTTTCATAATTACCGCCCCCCCTCCCCTCCAGATGGCGGGGGATCGCGTTACCGCTCCACGCTGATCACCTACTTGGCACATCGATCGGCAGAGCAGGCCTCCAGATTTCCCCGGGGAGGGTGGGGGGGCGGTGGGTAATGACATGGAGGGGGGGGGGAGGGTGTGGCGGGTTGGATCAGACACTTGGGGGGGGGCGGGGATGACAATGGGGGGTGCGGCGGGTTGGATCGGATACTTGGGGGGGCGGTGATGACATGGAAGGGGGGGGCGCGGTGGGTTGGATCGGACACTTGGGGGGGGGGGGGGGGGGGGGTGATGACATGGGGGGCGGTGATGGTGACATGGGGGGCGCACGGCGGGTTGGATCGGACACTTGGGGGGGGGGGAACTTGGGGTGATGACATGGGGGTGTGCGGCGGGTTGGATCGGACACTTGGGGGGGCGGTGATGACATGGGGGGGCAGCAGCGGGTTGGATCGGACACTTGGGGGGGGTGATGACACATGGGGGGGGGCGGGCGGGTTGGATCGGACACTTGGGGGGGGGGGTGATGACATGGGGGGGGCGCGGCGGGTTGGATCGGACACTTGGGGGGGGGGTGATGACATGGGGGGGCGCGGCGGGTTGGATCGGACACTTGGGGGGGATGATGACATGGGGGGGCGCGGCGGGTTGGATCGGACACTTGGGGGGGGGGGGTGATGACATGGGGGGGCGCGGGGGTTGGATCGGACACTTGGGGGGGGTGATGACATGGGGGGGGCGCGGCGGGTTGGATCGGACACTTGGGGGGGGTGATGACATGGGGGGGGCGCGGCGGGTTGGATCGGACACTTGGGGGGGGGTGATGACATGGGGGGGTGCGGCGGGGTTGGATCGGACACTTGGGGGGGGGTGATGACATGGGGGGGCGCGGCGGGTTGGATCGGACACTTGGGGGGGGGGTGATGACATGGGGGGGCGCGGCGGGTTGGATCGGACACTTGGGGGGGGGGGTGATGACATGGGGGGGCGCGGCAGGTTGGATCGGACACTTGGGGGGGGGGTGATGACATGGGGGGCGCGGCGGGTTGGATCGGACACTTGGGGGGGGTGATGACATGGGGGGGCGCGGCGGGTTGGATCGGACACTTGGGGGGGGGGTGATGACATGGGGGGGCGCGGCGGGTTGGATCGGACACTTGGGGGGGGGGGGGGTGATGACATGGGGGGGGCGCGGCGGGTTGGATCGGACACTTGGGGGGGGTGATGACATGGGGGGGCGCGGCGGGTTGGATCGGACACTTGGGGGGGGGGGGGGGAATGATGACATGGGGGGGGTGCGGCGGGTTGGATCGGACACTTGGGGGGGGGGGTGATGACATGGGGGGGGGCGCGGCGGGTTGGATCGGACACTTGGGGGGGGTGATGACATGAGGGGGCGCGGCGGGTTGGATCGGACACTTGGGGGGGGGGGTGATGACATGGGGGGGCGCGGCGGGTTGGATCAGGACACTTGGGGGGGGTGATGACATGGGGGGGCGCGGCGGGTTGGATCGGACACCTGGGGGGGGGGGTGATGACATGGGGGGGGGCGCGGCGGGTTGGATCGGACACTTGGGGGGGGGGTGATGACATGGGGGGGCGCGGCGGGTTGGATCGGACACTTGGGGGGGGGGGTGATGACATGGAAGGGGGGGGCGCGGCGGGTTGGATCGGACACTTGGGGGGGTGATGACATGGGGGGGGTGCGGCGGATTAAATCGGACACTTGGGGGGGGGGGGGGCGGGTTGATGACATGGGGGGGCGCGGCGGGGGTTGGATCGGACACTTGGGGGGGGGGGGGGGGATGGTGATGACATGGGGGGGGGGGGCGGTGGGTTGGATTGGACACATTGGGGGGGGGGGTGATGGTGATGGAACTTGGCATGGGGGGGGTGCGGCGGATTAAATCGGACACTTGGGGGGGGGGGGCGGTGATGACATGGGGGGGGGGCGGCGGGTTGGATCGGACACTTGGGGGGGGGGGGGTGATGGACATGGGGAGGGTTTGTGGCATGTTGGATCGGACACTTGGGGGGGGGGGGTGGTGATGACATGGGGGGGGGAGGGGCACGGCGGGTTGGATTGGATACACTTGGGGGGGGGGTGATGACATGGGGGGGTGTGGCATGTTGGATCGGACACTTGGGGGGGGGGGTGATGACATGGGGGGGGGGGGCACAGGCGGGTTGGATTGTACACTTGGGGGGGGGGGGGTGATGACATGGGGGAGGGTGTGGCATGTTGGATCGGACACTTGGGGGGGGGGGGTGATGACATGGGGGGGAGGGTGCGGTGGGTTGGATTGGACATTGGGGGGGGGGGTGATGACATGGGGGGGGGAGGGCACGGCGGGTTGGATTGTACACTTGGGGGGGGGGTGATGACATGGGGAGGGTGTGTGGCATGTTGGATCGGACACTTGGGGGGGGGGGGGGGGTGATGACATGGGGGGGGAGGGTGCGGTGGGTTGGATTGGACACTTGGGGGGGGGGGGGGTGATGACATGGGGGGGGGGGCACGGCGGGTTGGGCAGCTCCTTCTCCTCAATACGCATCAGCATAAAATGTCCAGCATGCTGGCAGATATCTGCTGCTGACCGACGATTCCGCTCAGCCCCGACGGGGAACAATCCGTAAATTCTAAGCGTTCCGTCGCTCCACGTTATCGTCTTCCTCCAACTCCGCCCACCGCCGGCTAGATGTGCGACGGCGATCGATCATACGCCGCGAATCCTCTGCGCAGCCAATCGCATCTGAAACCTTCTCCTTACGAACAACAGCGAATGCCGCGCCCAGGCCGGCCTAGAGCGACTCCCACGCATTTGCCGAACGCCTAGGAACAGCTCCGCCATCTTGTTCCTAATATCCTCCGTCTTTATTGCGGCGGCGCGGGGGGAGGGGCGGCCGCGGGGCGTTGGTTGTTCAGCATCTTACGGCACTAATTAACTTCCTCGGCGGGTTTTATTTGTGTTTTGCGAGGTTGATGCCCGTCCTGGGACGCCCCTCGCCAATAACGCGGGCCGTGCGCGGGGCCCCTGTCCGCCGATGGCTCCCAGTCCGCCCGCCTTCATTACACGCCATAAAATCGCTGCCATGATCCGCGCTGCGCGCTGCGGTGATTTATGAGCCGCTCCCTCCGCTGGCGCGCTCTGCGTCTGCATAATTTCTAGGTTGTGCCTATAAAAAGCTGCTGGCGGTTGGCGGATGGCGGGCAGCGTTGGCCGCGCGACGCACAAAGGAAGTTTATTGCATTAAAATCCAGGTCAGGAAGTCTCCTGTGTGTGACGCTCTAAACACGACAATACGGGAACTTCATCAGACCCCCCCCCCCCCCCCCGCCGCCGAGCTCTTCTGTCCGGCGGGGTGACGCCATCCTTGGATTGGCGGATAACTCGCCTCTGCCGTACAACCTGCGACAACCCCGCCCCCCCTCATGTGCACCGCGCCCCTCGTAGGAGCGATCCGTCACAATCGTGTCCGATGGGCCGCGGCGAATCTTATTCCGCGTCCGGTACAATCATCTCCGCCATTTGTTTTCTAAAGGTCAGCAGAGCAATTGACCTTTTATATTGCGCCGCTCCAGTCCCCGCCCCCCCCCAGGTCATAGGATGGCGGCAAAATGGCGACATAAAGAGCGAGGAAAAAAAAACGGGTTTCCATCTGTACAGCGCCGCGGTATATGTCAGAGCTATAGAATAATATAGTGTGTGACTGCGGGGGAGGGGACATTAGAGTGTAAGCTCCTCTGTACAGAGACTGATGGGGACTGTGGGGGAGGGGACATAGAGTGTAAGCTCCTCTGTACAGAGACTGATGGGACTGTGGGGGAGGGGGACATTAGAGTGTAAGCTCCTCTGTACAGAGACTGATGTGACTGTGGGGGGAGGGGACATTAGAGTGTAAGCTCCTCTGTACAGAGACTGATGGGACTGTGGGGGAGGGGACATTAGAGTGATGGGACTGTGGGGGAGGGGACATTAGAGTGATGTGACTGTGGGGGAGGGGACATTAGAGTGTAAGCTCCTCTGTACAGAGACTGATGGGACTGTGGGGGGAGGGGACATTAGAGTGTAAGCTCCTCTGGTACAGAGACTGATGTGACTGTGGGGGAGGGGACATTAGAGTGTAAGCTCCTCTGGTACAGAGACTGATGGGACTGTGGGGGAGGGGACATTAGAGTGTAAGCTCCTCTGGTACAGAGACTGATGTGACTGTGGGGGAGGGGACATTAGAGTGTAAGCTCCTCTGGTACAGAGACTGATGTGACTGTGGGGGAGGGGACATTAGAGCGTAAGCTCCTTTGGTACGGAGACTGATGGGGACTGCGGGGGAGGGGACATTAGAGTGTAAGCTCCCTGGTACAGAGACTGATGGGACTGTGGGGGAGGGGACATTAGAGTGTCAGCTCCTCTGTACAGAGACTGATGGGACTGCGGGGGAGGGGACATTAGAGTGTCAGCTCCTCTGTACAGAGACTGATGGGGACTGCGGGGGAGGGGACATTAGAGTGTAAGCTCCTCTGTACAGAGACTGATGGGACTGTGGGGGAGGGGACATTAGAGTGTAAGCTCCTCTGTACAGAGACTGATGGGACTGTGGGGGGAGGGGACATTAGAGTGTCAGCTCCTCTGGTACAGAGACTGATGGGACTGTGGGGGAGGGGGACATTAGAGTGTAAGCTCCTCTGGTACAGAGACTGATGGGACTGTGGGGGGGGGGGACATTAGAGGGTAAGCTCCTTGGTACAGAGTGATGGGACTGTGGGGGAGGGGACATTAGAGTGTAAGCTCCTCTGGTACAGAGACTGATGGGACTGTGGGGGAGGGGACATTAGAGCGTAAGCTCCTCTGGTACAGAGACTGATGGGACTGTGGGGGAGGGGACATTAGAGCGTAAGCTCCTCTGTACAGAGACTGATGGGACTGCGGGGGAGGGGGGCATTAGAGCGCAAGCTCCTCTGGCTCAGTTTTCTCTGTACAGCGCTGCGGTATATGTCAGAGCTATATAAATGTACGATGTCTGTATATTTGCAACTCCTGGGGGTCTCTGGAGATATTTGGGGTTCTTTTGGTGGCTGATTTTGGGGTGATATTATTACACATAAAGGAAATGTTTTGGCACGGTCAGTTTTTCGTGCGATTTGAGGCGCAGGGAGCCATGGAGGGGGCGCGGGGCGCCGTGGAGGTGGTGGAGCTGTGGAGGAGATGCGGGGCGCCGTGGCAGAGGCGTGGGGCGCTGTGGAGGAGGCGCGGGGCGCCGTGGAGGAGGTGCTGGGAGCCATGGAGGGGGCGCGGGGCGCTGAGGCGGAGGCGCAGGGAGCCATGGAGGGGGCGCGGGGCGCTGTGGCGGAGGCGTGGGGCGCTGTGGCGGAGGCGCAGGGAGCCATGGAGGGGGCGCGGGGCGCTGTGGCAGAGGCGTGGGGCGCTGTGGCGGAGGCGCAGGGAGCCATGGAGGGGGCGCGGGGCGCTGTGGCGGAGGCGTGGGGCGCTGTGGCGGAGGCGCAGGGAGCCATGGAGGGGGCGCGCGGGGCGCTGTGGCGGAGGCGCAGGGAGCCATGGAGGAGGTGCGGGGCGCTGAGGCGGAGGCGCAGGGGAGCCATGGAGGGGGGGCGCTGTGGCGGAGGCGCAGGGAGCCATGGAGGGGGGCGCGGGGCGCTGTGGCGGAGGCGCAGGGAGCCATGGAGGAGGTGCGGGGCGCTGAGGCGGAGGCGCAGGGAGCCATGGAGGGGGCGCTGTGGCGGAGGCGCAGGGAGCCATGGAGGGGGCGTGGGGCGCTGTGGCGGAGGCGCGGGGCGCCGTGGCGGAGGCGTGGGGCGCTGTGGCGGAGGCGTGGGGCGCTGTGGCGGAGGTGCAGGGAGCCATGGAGGGGGCGTGGGGCGCTGTGGAGGAGGCGGGGGGTGAGCAGCTGGCAGGCGCAGGACCTCTTATCTCGGCTCTCCAGCGGATTCCTCGTCTCGGGGCCATTAACATATCCATGTACTTACCTGAATGAGGGCCGGACAGTGGGGGGTGGTGGGGGTGGTGGGGGGCGGTGAGGAGGGGGGGGAGGGGTGAGCGACCTCAGAAAATGTCAGCAGCACGGCGTATCCAGGGCAGATGGCGTGTTTGGCGGCGGATGTGTATAAAGTGCGCGGGGTGTAAATGTCGCGGCGAGCAGTAATGGTGATGTATGGTTCGGTGGGCGGGGCCCTCGCACAGACGCCGCGTCACTCTCTTATCTCCGCTCTTCCAACGCTCACCGACGAATAACAACCCAATTCATCATTCGCCAGCCGGGCGTCGTTCACGGGCCCCGGGGCTCCGCCGCGCTGCTTCCTCCTCTGGGCGCATTCCGACCGAACAATAAAACGGGGGGGAGAGCGGGGGGGGAGAGAGTGGGGGGGAGAGTGGGGGGGGAGAGTGGGGGGCCGGGGAGCGATGACACCGCCGATATTTTATGGACTTTATATAGAGAGATGGCGGGGAAGCGGCACGCCGCGGTACATCATGGATGGGAGACGCCTCCCCGCCGCGCGCTGCAACAACCAATAACTTCTCAGCCATAAAACCTTCTGCAGGATAATACGGGCCCCGCGGGGGGGAAACTCATACTGCTGCAGGATAATACGGGCCCCGCGGGGGGGACTCATGCTGCCTGCAGGATAAAGGGGCCCCGCGGGGGGGACTCATACTGCCTGCTCTGCACTAACTGGCTGCCATTTATGTAGACTGAACCCAACACACCGAAACAACCCCACCAATCACCGGATAGGGGCCCCAATAAAGGGTCTGGGCACCCAGAACCTATTCCGTATCCAATAAATGTCCATCATCTGAATTGTCTGCCAGATGTCCTCACTGGGGGGGTCCTCAGATCTATCCTGACACCCAGGCCTCTACAAGAGGGCCTCACACCATGGTGGGGAGGGTGGGCTCAGAGCCAGTTTTGGAGGCCCGAGGTACGGCTTCCAATGAGGGATGAGTGGAGTGACTTCCGCAAAAGTGGACCTCCTAGACCAGTGGTTTGCAACCACTAGGCTGTGACCAACTGCCGGGCCCTGGTCTCCTTCCTACCAGGCCTCTAGCCCGCTGCAGAGCCCCGAACCTCCCACAGTGCCTCCCACCCTACCATAGTGCATCACAGTGCTTCCCCCTCCTTACCCCAAACTGCCGGGCCCTGGCCTCTCTCCTTCCTACCAGGCCTCTAGCCTGTTGCAGAGCCCTGAACCTTCCACAGTGCCTCCAAGCTCCCACAGTACCCCCCAACCTACCATAGTGGATCACCATGCCCCTCCCTTCCCAACTGCTGGGCCCTGGCCTCCTTCCTACCAGGCCTCTAGTCTGCTGCAGAGCCCCAAACCTCCCACAGTGCCTCCTAGCTCCCATAACACCCCACAACCTACCATAGTGGATCACAGTGCTTCCCCCTCCTACCCCCAACTGCTGGTCTGTGGCCTCCTTCATTCTGGGCTTCTAACCAGCTGCAGATCTCCTAATCTCCCACAGCACCTCCTAGCTCCCAGAGTGCCCCCCAACCTACTAAAGTAGACCACAAAGCCCCCTCTACCCAGTGGTCTCCCTCCTTTCAGGCCTCTAGCCAGCTGCAGATCCTCTAACCTCTCACAGTCCCCCCCCCCCCCCAACCTACCATAATGGACCACAGTGTTCCCCTCCCACAAATGCTGGGTCGTGGTCTCCCCTCTTTTCTAGGCCTCTAGCCAGCTGCAGATCCCCTAACCTCTCACAGTGCCCCCTCAACCTACCATAATGGACCACATTGCCCCCCTCCCCAAACTGCTGGGCCGTGGCCTCCCCTCCTTTCTGGGCCTCTAGCTAGCTGCAGATGCCCTAACCTCTTACAGTGCCTCCTAGCTCCCATAACACCCCACATCCTACCATAGTGGACCACAGTGTCGCACAGCCCCACGATGCCCACCCCCCAACCTCCCACAGTGCCTTTCACCCTCTCATAGTGCCCCCCCTGCCCCCAAACTCCTGTAATGGTTCCCAGCCACTGAAGCACCCTACAGTCTCCCACAGTGCCTTCCACCCTTGCACAGTGCCCCCCCCCAGCCTACTGCAGATCCTCTAGCCTCCCATAGTGCCCCACACTGCCCCCAAACTCCTGTAATAGCTCCCAGCCGCTGAAGCACCCTACAGTCTCCCACAGTGCCCCATCAGCCTACTGCAGGTCCTTCAGCCTCCCATAGTGCCCCTCACTGCCCCAAAACTCCTGTAATGGCTCCCAGCCACTGAAGCACCCTACAGTCTCCCACAGTGCACCCTCCTGGAGACACCTCTAGTCCCCTCTAGAGGCCCCCACCCATCACAGTTTTCTCCAGCCCCCATCCATCACAGTTTCCTCCAGCCCCTACCAGAAACCTTATCCCCCATGGGGCCAAGAAGTCTGCTGTAGAGTTCCACAGCCCCCAATCCCCCCCCCCCCCCCCCCCCTAGTGACACCCAGGCCAATCCAGAGCCCTCCAGCATTTCAATACATAATTTACGCTTCCGTAATTTTTTCTACTGTTGGGGCATGGGAGGGTTTGGAAGAATTTGGTCTCAATTGTTGAGAAGCCGTCTCAGACGAGACGATGAAATCTTGTAACTGCATTGATGTTTGTATATTTCCGGATGGCGTCCAATATCATCTTTATTGGTTAGGGTTGCCTTAGATGTCTTCAGCATTAATAAAATGTTTCATGTTCTCCCGGGGAGGTAATAATGTTCCTCAATATCTACCATCATCAGACCGCCTAACCAAAGGACCAGTTGACTCGAGAACAGATTGGAGCTTCCATTACCTTCAGAAGCCATTTAAAGCCCATTTCACCCTTTAGAACCACCATTGCCAACATTGTAAAATTTCGGTGATACCTCCTGATGATCCCAAAGCAAATATTGTCCTCATCCCTGTACTGCTTGAGGCGGCTGGAAGATCTGTGGAGGAGCTTCTCGTGCATGGAAAAGAGTGAAGGATGAAAGGACCACACATGGACCATGTCATCATCATTTGAGGGTTAAGGTGGATCAGGAGGAGATACCTGCTGATGATCCCAAAGCAAAAATTGTCCTCATCCCTGTACTGCTTGAGGCGGCTGGAAGATTTGTGGAGGAGCTTCTCGTTCATGGAAAGGAGTGAAAGATGAAAGGACCACACATGGACCATGTCATCATCAATTGAGGGTTAAGGTGGATCAGGAGGTGATACCTCCTAATG